AAGCAAGGCCTAAGCAAAGTCTGGGTAGTGATCTGTGCAGTTCTTTACGTGCCATATCATGCTCACAGGGCGTTCATGCCATAGCTGATGGCACATCTGAGTCTAGGTCACCAGGAGGACCTTTGTCTGCAGAGGCATCGTCCTGGTGGTGCTGCTTGAAGGTCTGCAAGCTTGAAGGCCTGCAAGCTTTAAGGTCTGCAAGCTTTCGGCCCCCATGACTGCTCCTTTCTGAAACCATGTAGATCTTTGCTTTTATGGGTCTGAGTCTGATTGCCACAAGTCTGCGTGGTTTGACAAGTTTCCATGCTCCTGCGGCAAAAGGAATGTGATATTTTTGCTCAGTTTGGACAGGAACATTTTCTTCCCCAGAGGGATTTGCTGCCTGTAGTTAAGCTGTTTCCCAAATCTGAGCCAACTCTCCCCAGCTAACCAGCCCCTGGCCTGGCATGGAGGCAGGACAAGTCTTGAGCTGCTCTTGGTTTTGTAGGCTGCACAGATGTCACAGCACTCCAACTTGCTCCAGGCAGGACCCTCAGCTTCTTGCAGAGGTCTTTCTCCACACCAGGCTCCAGGTTTCAGCAGGAAAATGAACAGGCAAAGGAGACTGGTTTTATTTATCGGAAAGACCAAGGATTAAATCTTGGCTCTACAAGCCAAGGCTCAGCGTGTCGAGTCCAACTAGGATGGGGAAGTGCTCCTTGATCTGTCCCTCCTCCACCTCCCGGGGACGTGGACCCTCGCTGCAGAACCAATCCCCTCCCTCACCTGGTCCCAGGTGGGGTGGTGGCATCTTTGACCCTTCTCTCCCTCAAGACATCACAGCTTCAGGGAGAGGCACCTTCAGCAAATGGCAAATGACATGCAGCGTCACAGCCTGTCGTCTCTGTGCTTTTGATGACAACACACATGTCGTGCTGACCTCAATGCTTCATTTCCACAATTAATGCAGCATAGCCTTTGGCAGCTCCCCGACCACCATCATGTTGAGCTTCCATGTTTGCAAGCAGGGTCTAGTCTGGGCACCATGTGCACCAAATGCTTCACCTCCTGGCCTCAAAAGACAAACTAGGATGGTGCATGCTGTAATAACTTGGAGATGGCTTTTTGTTCTGGAAGGCTTCTTTTAAATGCCCTCTCATCCCCAAAATCTCCCCTTCAAGGTGAAGGGACCCTACCTGCCTGCTCTGTTCAACACAGGAGGTGTGGAGATGCCTGGCCCACCCTGACCATGGCTCCCAGTAGAGATGGAGCAGATCTCTGCATCTCAGACATCAGTAACCCTGAGACCCAGAACCAAACATGGGTCTGCAAAATGTCTTCCAATTATTGAAGATGAAACAAAACATTACAATTTGATGTCTGCGAACTTCAGCATCCCTCAGGACCTATGTCTTCCAGAACAGGTTATCTGGTGGAAGACTGCCACCAGTTCCTTGATTGTCTCCTTCTTTTAGCATGATACTTCTTTCCAACGTGAGCCACACCTCTGGTTTTAGGGACACAGGTCAGCTAGCCAGGATTTTTTTAGCTTGGCAGTCTACGTGCTGTGGCCTTGTGGCATCTTTTTGTTCCGAACTTGCTAAAATCACCCCCAAAATAATGAGTGGGACCTTAGCAGTGGCAGCGGAGGGGTGAGTTTTCATCTCCTGTAAGATGCAGAAGAGCAGAGGGGATGTCCCAGGTGTTATGTTGCTGTGTTCATCCTGACCTTGAAGGTTGCAGCTCGTGGTGTTGCAGATGGATGTGATCCTTGACATCAATCTCATTTGCAGCTTCACTGGTAGGAGCTGATTGCAATGATAACTAAGCCAAGTCTGACTCATCAGTACCTGAATGAGGAGCAATGCCACCCACAGTGTGCCGGCAGCAATTTTACTCCTGATCTGGCTCTGCTGGTGGGATGGATTTGAAGCTCTCCAGTTGATCTCGATCTTACCGCTCTGCCTGGCATTTTTGGACCATGCGGTAGCGTAAAGTATGAATTGTATGTCAGCGAGACCTTGCTCGTAGTCTGAGGTTTTAATCGATTTATCTCAAAAGGAGGAGGTGGCAGCCTAAGAGAACTTTCTTTAAAGATTACGGGGTGTTAATGTATGTCAAGTCAGCGTGTGTGTTTGAGAGCAAACTGTGTTAAACTGTTTCATCTCACCAGCCTCATGGGCTGTCCCTGCTCCTGGGCATGTTTTGGAGCTCCAGTTTCTGCACCGGGATAGAAAGTGCAGAAGGATCTGCCTTAAGACAAGGGTTGTACTGTACCGTGTGCTGCACGAAATACCAAATTGGGAGCAGAATCTCTCTCCTTAGATATTTCATCCAGGTTTTGAAGCCAGATGTGAATAACCTCCATTCACCTATGAGCTCACACATCCCTCACCTCCTGCATCCAGCTGGCACGGGCCAGAATATCACAATATTAAAAGCCGCATAACTCTGCAGCCACTTCAACAGCCTTTGCTGTGTTTGGAAGAACCTTTGCACGAAAGCATCTGAAATTCCAGCAGCTGTGCGTTGGCCGAGGAGCAGCTGACGTCGTTACTGGGAATTTACGGTCAGCTTGTTTTCTGGTAATTGGCTGGCCAGATGCTTTTGGTGCTGCTCTGTGCTCCTCAGATCCTCTCTGTCAGGTGAGTATGAGAAGAGACAGAGATTTTGGGAGCCAGAGCCTGGAGGAGACTTCATCCCCACCTTGCTCCCAGATTGCTGTTGCCTTTAGCAAGGAAGGTTTCCCCTGAGATGCAAGGAGACATGCTCGGTGCCCTTACTTGCAAGTGTTTTGAAAAATATCAGGCCAGAAGGAACGGCTGATGACCAGGTGAATTTTTTTTTTTATTTATTTTTTTTTGGAGGGGAGGGGAAGAAGTGAGGTGTACAGTGGGTAGAAAACTTCTGGAATTTGTTGCGATGAGAAGCTGTGGAGGCTGATATTGCTGCATGTTCAGGAAGGGATTAAAAAATTCAAGGCAACCAGTCCATAAACATCTCTGAAGTGGGTACCTTGGAGGACATCTCCCTGCTGTGACCCCAAAACAGGGACTGGGTGCTGTGGGGCACGAGGGCACGGACCACAGGCAGCGACCGGGGTCATGAGCTCTCTATAAGCAGCATCTCTTGCTGCCATGGTTTGAAGCAGAGTACTGGGCTGGAGACACCATTGCTCTGACCCAGGAGGACGTTTCTTACCTTGCAGATCTTTCCAAAAGGTCCATGAAGTAGGGCAAATGGACAGATTTTGCGTAGGGAAGCTAAAGTGGTCCTGAAGTCTTTGGTTCCTGGGGAAACCTGGAGAAAAGGGGAGTCTCCTTTCAGCTCCAACAGCACAAGGGATCCACACAGATGGCATAGTCGTTGAAGGTTCTCCAGGCCATGGTTGGGCAGGGATGCTAGCACCAGAAGAGTAACCTGTTTGCCATGAGGGTCTTTCCCTTGCTCAGTTTTGATCACAAGAACTTGCCTGAAGAAGACCTTCCTTGAGGTCTTTCCCTAACGTCCATTGGCTTTCTCTTTAGTAAACATTAGGTATGGACTCTTTCAGCAGCAGGGCTCTTCATTACGAAGCTTTCTGAGCATTAATTCCCTTCCACCCAGGGCTTTGCCCGTTGGGGAGGAGATCTTGGAGCCATGGATCTGGGTACAGCACCGGGTGTCAGAGCTGATGCCTTTCTCTTGAACGCCCGTTTCCACTGGCCGTTGTGGAGGAGGAGGAGCATTCATTCACATGCACTCGAGAGGAAAAAGGGATTAAGCAATTCAACAGTCATAATTTCAGGGCTCAGAAGTCTCATTAAAATTAGCTTTGACAGAAGCTTAATTTTACTGCCTTTTGCATGAATAAAATTTTTGAGGTCTATCCTATTAAGATTTGTTTCTTTTCCTTTTTTCTTCTTCCGAAACCAACATCTGATCTGAATTTTATTAACACAAGCATCTTAATGTGTACGTAGGGGGGGTTTAACACTGTTTCTTCGAAAACTGCTCAAAACAAAGTTATTTCTCCAGATGTTTGCTGTTATGTTTCAATGCAGAGCAAATGTCTAATAATTTGCTCAGTGCCCTGTGTTTTCTGAATGAGCCTGATTATTTGCACATCCCCACAGTGAAGGACTGTTAAGGCAAAAAAAAGACCTTTCCTGTGCTCATTGAGCAAATATTGGCAAGTATGAACAATATTGGAAAGCGTCCTTAGACAAAGACTGATACCTGGTCACGTGCCTTGTTGGGAGGTGTTGGAGGGTCTCACCATGGACGCTAGGCTGTTGGGTGAGCATGAAGCCAAAGGGAATGTGGAGCAAGAGTGGGTTTGCTTTTATAGGACAGGCTTTAAGCTGGTGGTAGTCCAAAAAGTAGCATGTCAGTGCCATCCTGCACCTCCACGTGCTTTTTTCCACTTCTGTCCAACGAGTGCGCTCAGGTAAGGTGTCTCTCAGAACAGGTTGGTAGCTGTTGGTGCTGGGACCTTCTCCGTCTTCTGGAAGCAAGGGCTCTGCGGGCTCAGATGTAACAGACTGCAACGTGGTAGACGAAAATGTGCCAAAAAGGGCTTTTCTGGGGCTCGCTGCCTCTGCCTGTGTTGGCTCTGACCATCTGAGACAAGCGAGGAGCGAGAGCAATGCTCGAGGCACAAGGAAGGGCTGCACTTGGAAAGGACCATGGGTGGGACAAAGCTATGAGATGTTTAGGATCTGTCCAGGCACATCTACAGCTGTTCTTCACAAATAAGCATAGTTTAAGGGAGAAAGTGGTGTTTGCAGTGTTTGAAATGGAACTGGGGACCACAGCCATGGAGGGCTTGGTCATCATCTGCTAAACAACTGATTAATAGTTCGAACCCTGATGCGAGGAGGTGGGAGTAGGTCCCAAGCGCAGAGATGACTGGTGGGGACCAGGAGCCCATCTCTGTAGATGCATCTTCATTAATCCTAAAGTGAAGGAGACTTTAATAAGGGCACACGTGCGTCACAGTCACCGTTGGTAACTCCTTGTTCATTATTACTGTATTGCAGTTCATCGCCTTCCGGAGTGTTTGAGAAAGAATATGACATTTATCGTGATTACAGTGCGGAAGGTCAACTCCTCCACTACAGGTAGCCAAAATTTCCCTCTGGTATCGGGGTTGGGGTCTGCAACGTGGCCTTGGTGGTGAGGTGGGGGTGTGGGACAGCCCGTGTGCTGCTGGCTGACCTGTGGGAACGGGGCGGTGAGTAACGCTGGTGTTTCCTCTGTGCTCTTCTGATATTCCTCCCTATCCCCTTCCCTTCACGTGCTGAGGTTTTTAGCTTTACTACCACCCTTAAATAAACCTTAAGACAGATTTTGATGGTTCTTTGGAGCCGGGACCATCCATCCCCTTTAGGTGGTGGTCTTCGTTTGAGTGGCTCCTATCCATGACCAGAAACCAGAGCAGGACAGGAGGACCACCAGGCATGTCCAGTGATGGGGTCACACCTCAGCATGAGCTCCTGGTCTGTGGGGTTTTGTTAGTCTCCACCATCAGTACAGGACTCACCCGGTGCTGCTGATGTACCCCAATGCCTGCCATCATGGTGGGGTGGTGGCTTGAACATCTCTGCACACTGGAACCAGTTTCTAGGCTCTTTCCTAGGATTTTTACATTGACTATAAGGAGGTTCATGTGGATATGGATTTAATCCATCACCGCAGTGAGCCCAGCTGATTCAGAGTGGTGTCTCCGTAGGGCCCTGGAGGTGGGAAAGCCTCCTGAGAAATGAACCATCTCTTCCAGCCTGTGGGTCCAACTGCTTTCAGAGTCCATTTGTAAGACCGATATGAGCTTTCTCTTGCTTAGATCAGGATTTCAGGTGCTGAACCAAACCACCACCTCCAGCTTTCATGCATTTATGTCACTAGAGAATAATACGGTGTTGTGCTTGCCTTTGTTATGGCTCAAAATGCCCCTCTTAGAGTTTGCACAAGCAGTTCAGGTGTACAAATGCCGTGACTTCTCACTAGTACTAATGTGGACTAATGCCTTAAACATGGGCAAAAAATCACCAGAATTGAGTATGTCTGAGTAGATGATCAGAGGTGGGGAATGACCTTGTGCTGGGCTCCTGGAGCCTGGCCCAGCGCCTGCATCGCCACTTTCAAAACAACCTTTTTGCCTTCAAAACCCAAAGCAGTGTGAGCAGGGATGGATTTAGCGGGGCTGAGAAATTGCTCTTGATGCAGCCCAGATGGCTCCTTGGCCATCCTTTCTCAGTGTCCAAAGGAGGCATCTTAGCTGACCCACCTCATTCTGCCCTGGAGCATTCAGGAGATGTCCCCCTTGGTCACCACCTGCCAGGACGGAGGTGGTGGTGAGGCTCTGCAAACTCTGGGACCTCCCCACAAACCCAGACAGACCCATCTCGCCCTGACCCCATGCCAGCCTGCTCAGGGAGGGTTTTTGGTACCTACTGGCATCATCCAGATCAAATCAGGCAGGAACAGGGAGGATAAATGCCTGCACTGGATGCTTTTACTAGTATAGACCTGCAAACAAGTGGTGGCCTGAAGACTTTCTCTGTAACACCATGTTCATCCCAATTCCTACTTTTAAGACAGCAGGTCTATAGACTACGGTCAGATTTGGGGGTTTTGAAGTTGCTACCTGCCTGGTTGCTCTGGGCTTTGACGAATACCCCCAGTTTCTGGGTTTTTGTGGAGATGCAAGTGAGTTGAAGCACCTCTAGCTCTTGCTTTGCTTTCCATGCTGGTAGCGGGGACCGTGAGGGCGCGATGCTCTGCATTCCCTTCCCTCCTGCTCCGTGACAGCACGGGCTGGCAAGCTGGTCCACAGTGGCATGGTTTGCAGCAATCTCCATCCCGGTTCAATTCGCATTTGAGTGCAAAATCACCCAGCGGTGTTGGCCATGTGCCATTCTGCCTGCCCTGTAATTCACTGCTTCTGCAGTGGCCTCCCAGGAGCGTCAGAATTAATTGCCACTTAAGCAAGAGGGGGAAAAACAAGCTTTCTAGGAGGGGAAACAAATAGGGTAATGGTGTCTGGTGTTTATCCTCCCCAGCAGAATGCTCTCCTTGAGCATCGGGTGAGCTCAGAGAGACCTGCCCGTGGACAGCTTTACGCCGAAGCATCCCTTCTGCGTGCTGGGTGGATGCAATTCCCTGTCCGGAGGCAGGAGAAGTGAGGAAGAGTGGAATGGAGTGTGATTTGGCAGGCCTGGATTCACTGTTTGGTTTGGAAACAGGGTTTGCAGGTGCCTCCTCTGCTCTGCTGTTAGGCATTGAGCGTGCTTCGGTCGGAATTAGCAGCAGGAGCTGAGCCTGCGTCCAGGGCCGCAGCCAAGCGAGATGGAGCGGTGACAGGGACATGCCACTCTCTATCCTGAGCACTTTTTTTTCTGCAAACAGGATTAGTGATTCGGCACTGATAGGTTCTGACCCGCCGCCAGCTGGGTTGTGGCACGGGATGTGAGCTGCAATCGGAGACGAGGGACGATGCAGGTTTTGGGGACAACGGTCCCCACCCACCAGCTGGCCGATGCCCGCAGCCGCCCAAGCAATTAAAAGATTAAATTTCACTGTGGTTAGCACACATGACCTGTTTGCATCAGCATGTGCTTTGCTGCAGGAGATGCCTCCATCTTCCCGACCCCAACTTTACCGCCTGTAAAAACCCACGGACAGCCCTTGCCGCCCTCCCCCCAATCACTTCCAGCCAGGAAGCTAATTAGCAGCTTTGCTTAATTAGCTGAGAGTGGACTTCCTTCTGGAAGAACAGGTCTCAAGTGCCCTCTGTCTGGGGGCTGCCGAGTGAGATGGAGCAAGGAACCAACACAGCCTGGGGTGGATTTTTTTTAACCATGCGAGTGCCACGTGCACACCGCTCTGGCACTCATAAAAGCTGTAATCAAAGCTCAGTGGTCCTACCTCGCAATGGCAGGGATAATTTCATATCAGTGGGGTTAATTTTAAGGAGGAGGGCGCATGGCACATTCTGGAAATCACCCTGCATATAAAGGCATCTTGGTTTCAGCTTCTCCAAAGCTTAGCTGACAGCTCTTCCCTGGATGGACCAAGGCTGGGTAAATCCCAAAGGGTGCAAAGGGCATTTCTGGGAGGACGATGGTGGGCAGCACCCATGGCACAAGGGAGGCCACCTGGAAGCCCAACATTGGCGTCTACAACTGGATGGCTCGGAGGGATGCACACGTGGTCCCTTGTGGGAATGGGAATACCCTTGAGGTACCTCTGCCTGAAGGGACCAAGACTTGGGTGGGGAGAGCACAGTCCAGACACCTCTTTCTGATGCTCAAGGACAGGTTTTTGGGAAAGGCTGGTGCTCCAGCACCCTTGGCCAGGTTGCAACAAGATGGGGGAATCTCTCGTCTTCCCTCATGCTTCCCATGGGCCCATGCCAGTGCTGAGGTGGCAATTGTGAAACGGGCTGGCACCCAACCAGAGCCTTAAAGACTCCATCGCAGAGCGTGGTGCGGGCTGAGCCCTCAAGCACTTCCACTGGAGCAGCGCTGCCCCAGCTCCTCCAGATCCAGGCCTGGGATCCAGCCAATTCCAAACGCTGTTCATGAAATGATCGTGGAGGCTTCACAGTCAGGTGGGAGATCGGGTCTCCAGCCCAAGACCCACCTCAGGTCCTTCCAACCCTCTCCTCCTCACCAAGTCTTGCGTTAGTCAAAGCCATGGTAAGTGCATGTTGCCTCCTTTGAAGGTCAAGATAAGAGGTGGGCAGACAGTGGACTTGGCAGAAGGACAGAGGATTGAGTTGCCCAACAAGTCTGTAGGCCTCTGGTGGCTGAGGAAGCCTGATGAGACCTAGGCTGTGGCACGGGCACATGTCCACTCGCTTCTGGGCACGTGTCCACTCGCTTCTATCACCTCCTCCCCTCTGGCTGGAAAAGGAGAAGCTGAAGGACTTAGAGATGTTTGGACAAAGTGTGGGAGCAGGGTGGCTTGTGAGGGGACAGCTGTCCTCACGTGAAGGCTGGGTACAGGCAGATGGAGAGGCAGGAGGTTGGCTGATGGGGGAGAGGTCCTGGGGTTCAGCTGGGAGACCACCCTCATCCATGGCATCGTCTTCCCCAAGTGCAGCTTCGGGGTTCAGCTGCCTGGGTCGCCCCAGGAGCTGCAGCAACATCCTTAGGAGCAGGCAGGGGTTTTTTTTCTGCTTCCCTGACAGTGCTGGCTCAGTGCTCCCGGCCAACAATTGCTATGAGAGATTTTCTAATATAATGAAGATTAGTGGGTGTCATTAAGAGGATGACGTCTTGCTCCGTCTGTCTAGAAGGCATTTGTAGGAAAGCCTTGCATCCAAATCCCATCGAGAGAGGCAATTACGATAACTGTTCTTAACCCTTTCCTCTTTATTCTTTCTAGTTTGTGGTCCCTGAAGCCCAGTTGCTTAATGTCCTCATTTTTCCTCCTGTGGTTCTGTTGAGAGGGTTGATCTCTTTGCTAATCCATGCAGTGGTCTTTGTCAAGAAGTCTGTTTGTTTGTGGGACAAATCCCAGATCTCTGTCGTTGTCCCATGCTTGTGTTGGCCAGTCTCAATGGATGGAGGGTCCAAGGCTACTAGAGCTGATCTTCAGATCAGAGACCCTCAACTTGCTCCTCCAAATTTGTCTCCTCTCCCAGCACACAGCTGCTCTGCTCCTGTGACTCTCTTTGTTCCATTCTGCTGATTGGGTGGATGTCAGGTACCAAGTGCAGGTGGTCAGGGCTTTGTGGCCACCAGGAAGACACTGGAGCTTCCTGGTTGAAGGAAATGCAGCGTGTTGGACATGGAGCACAGCAGCAAAGCATTAATGTCCGTCTTCTCCCTGTCTGTTCCCTGGGAAACAAGAGGTTCATTACTTGCCAAGAACAGAAGAACCAGACCTAAAAATGTGCCCCGGTCCCAGTTACAGGCTCCTCTGCTCTGGGAGAAGGTGAGAAATCTGCTCACTTGAGTATGCAGTGTCCAGCTCTTAGGGATGCCTCCAGTTTGGCCTGGCTGTTCTGTTTGTTCTATAACTCTTAGGTCACACATGGAAGCAGAGGTGATCAATGGACTGTCCTCCAGCGGTGGAGCAGCTGGAATAGTTCCTAGGGCCTGGGCTTGCTCCA